GCCCCCACCACCTACCCCCAGGGCCGTCCCTAGGCCCTAGAGAAGAAATGACTCAAAAGACCATGCCTTGGAAGAACTATAGAGCTACAAAGCCATCAAACCAAGAATAAATAAATAAATAAATAAATAAATAAATAAATAAATAAATAAATAAATAAATAAATAAATAAATAAATAAATAAATAAATAAATAAATAAATAAATAAATAAATAAATAAATAAATAAATAAATAAATAAATAAATAAATAAATAAATAAATAAATAAATAAATAAATAAATAAATAAATAAATAAATAAATAAATAAATAAATAAATAAATAAATAAATAAATAAATAAATAAATAAATAAATAAATAAATAAATAAATAAATAAATAAATAAATAAATAAATAAATAAATAAATAAATAAATAAATAAATAAATAAATAAATAAATAAATAAATAAATAAATAAATAAATAAATAAATAAATAAATAAATAAATAAATAATAAATAAATAAATAAATAAATAAATAAATAAATAAATAAATAAATAAATAAATAAATAAATAAATAAATAAATAAATAAATAAATAAATAAATAAATAAATAAATAAATAAATAAATAAATAAATAAATAAATAAATAAATAAATAAATAAATAAATAAATAAATAAATAAATAAATAAATAAATAAATAAATAAATAAATAAATAAATAAATAAATAAATAAATAAATAAATAAATAAATAAATAAATAAATAAATAAATAAATAAATAAATAAATAAATAAATAAATAAATAAATAAATAAATAAATAAATAAATAAATAAATAAATAAATAAATAAATAAATAAATAAATAAATAAATAAATAAATAAATAAATAAATAAATAAATAAATAAATAAATAAATAAATAAATAAATAAATAAATAAATAAATAAATAAATAAATAAATAAATAAATAACATAAAAGGAAGTAGACACATAAATCAAGGTATACCTGTGGTCAAAGAAAGAATTTGGTGTCTGTATTGGTCAATGATCATATAAATAAATCAAATTATTTTCATTGTTTTCCCAATGAAAAATGTTTGGTGTACACATTAGTATACACTATTCGCACACTTTTTGTGTATACACAGATAAAGTTGTCTGTGTACAAACAACGGTTGTATTTCCAGACTAATTGTCTGTAAACAAACAACTTTGTATGTGTATATAGACAAAATGTGCGAATAATGTACAAAAAAGGTGTAATCAAGTATTTTAATTTGTTTCTCAATAAGTTAAGATATCAAAAAAGCAATAGTGCTGCAATAACTATATTGCACTTTAAGTGTTAGACTTTAACTATATTCCACTTTTGCTATCATTGTAACTTATTGTTTTTAATTAATTATAAATCCATCACTAACCTATTGTATGCACTACTATAAAATTTCATCCTCTCACTTGTTTCTCTTCGAAACCTGTGGTATAATTATGAATTAATTATATTTCAAATACTTTATCAATTTAAAAGTTGTATGGAAAGAGTTAAATATAGTTTTTCAGCAAATCCAGTCGGAACAAAATTTTAGTCTTTCTTATTTTGGTTATTATACAACTTATCTCATGAAATTAAAAGTTTTTATTTAATAAAAATGTTGCCAATAAGCTCAAAAGGGTTATCAAATGGCCTTTTATGTATAGAAGCTCAATTCACAAGGTCTGGTAACATTTTGCAATCACGTGTATTAATTTATTATTGAAAGCTAAGTATAATATGGAGTAATAATTTTCATAGTAATGGTAGTGTTAAAATGTTTGCATTTGGATTAATTTCAGTCTCATGTCACAGACCAAAACAAACTTAAACATACAAGATTAGGCCAGACCAAAATTCAAAAGATCACACCACACAAGATTTCGACAGTTATAAAATACACAAAGATGAGACATCTACATACTAGACCTCACGCAAGTTCAGACCAGACTAGAAGGGCTATTTTAGGTATATTCATATATTATTTTCATAATTTTTTCATAAACTATTTTTAAAATATATTATGTTCAATTAATTCAAAGAGTTCAGTCAATTCAGTGAAGACTAGTCAATTTAGTCAATTCAAAGGGCCATTTGAACATTTACAAATATTAGCACATTGTCAACTGATGTAGCGGATTTCATTGTTACAAATGTTCATTTGTATGAATTAAAGACTAGTATGAGAAGCATATACCATAAAGCCGGCTGTACGGCCGGCACTGTACAGCCGGTGGCACTACAAGAAAACTAATTTATAGGGGCAACTCATTGAGGCAACTTAGATAATGTTGCCTCTAAATATCCTTTTTAACATCAGATAAAACATGGTTGCCTCTAAATTTAGTCAATTGAAGCAACCATATTTTACTTGCCCCTAAAAAGTATTATTTGGAGCAACTCTTTTGTGTCCGCCTCTAAAAGCCCGTCGCAAAAGTATAATTGCCTCTAAAAAGTTGCTTCTAAGTGTGGAGTCACATATGACAACCATTTCGAGGCAATGTTTTTTTTAAGAACTAAACGATACACCAATTCTAACTTGACTGCCTCCATAAGTGTATCTCTAAGTTGAACTATACACTATATATATTCACATGTTATATTTTATCTGCATTTGATTTATTAATGTATTGAAAAAATTTAATTTTCTAGAAATATCATTAAATTCATTTTATTTTTAATTTTCAAAATCTTAAATTTTAATTTTTTACCAATAAGGAATGAATTATATCAATGGTTACTTTTTGTAATGCTTGAATCTAATTTAAAAAAGTTATTCATGAAATTTGATGGAAAGTGACATTAGTAATCCTAAAATTCCATTCATGTAATCACATACGAAGTACATGTTAATTTTGACTTTCAAATTTTTCAATAAACATCACTCTCGTTATTTAAGCCCTCATTCCCTTAAATCCGTAATCCTCTCTCTTTTATTTTTGAAACTAGGTTGTTTTAAAATTTAAACAAAATAATTTTCTATGTACCGCTAAATTTTTTACCAAAAAAATATACCGCTAAATTTTATGGAAAACACTTTCAATTCCCGCCCGTTGTTCCCAACCCTAAGGCAGAGTTATGTACTTACGTCTCTCAATTAAACTATTCCATCTACGGAAGTCCTACCAGCTAGCAAGCGAGTGAGCTATGATACCAAGCGGCCAAGCAAGAGGGAAACAGCGATTTCTTCGAGCACAATCTCACGGAATAGCCCTATCCCAATCTAGCGATTTGTTGAGGGAGGGAGCGGGCCAGCGATTTCTTTACCGCAGGGTCCGATCTGTTGAGCCATCGAGCAGCTTAAGGGGCGATCATTCTCTTCTCCTTCAAGCTTCACTATATCCTCCTGATTTTGTTTCTATTTAAGCTTCTTGGACAGGTTAGTCATATTCATCTTTAAGTTCATCATCTCTTTGATTGAGTGCTTTGATAAGATCAAATTTGTTGGATTTCTTTGAGCACAATCTCACGGAATAGCCCTGTCCCAATCTAGCGCTTTGTTGAGGGAGGGAGCGGGCCAGCGATTTCTTTACCGCAGGGTCCGATCTGTTGAGCCATCGAGCAGCTTAAGGGGCGGTCATTCTCTTCTCCTTCAAGCTTCATTATATCCTCCTGATTTTGTTTCTATTTAAGCTTCTTGGACAGGTTAGTCATATTCACTTTAAGTTCATCATCTCTTTGATTGAGTGCTTTGATAAGATCAAATTTGTTGGATTTGTTTGATTTATAATCGATTTTAATTACTTGAATGACTTGTTTAATATAATATTGAAACCATGACAGCACTTCATAAAAAGTGTTTTTTATTTACTATACTCTTCTTTGTAAGTTTTGTCACACCAGGCGGAGGTGAGCCGGCGCCCCGGCCAACCCCCTTCGCCGGAGATATCTTAATTTTGTCACACCCCTGGAGATCCGCCAGTGTGTCTATGGTTGCCGTCTATACCTCCGTCCCTGAACACTATTTTCTAGTTCTAGTGTTTGCAACTCGTTTTCTTTATTTTGTTTACTCTAAAGTCTAAATGATGAAATTTTGTTTATTAAAAAAATAATTGAAGAATTATGAAGTTCTGTACATTTAATAATTTAATGATTATATCAATTTGGTATGGTATAGTATGTCGCATTATAAATAGAACATTTACTAGGATATTTCTTCAAACATAGCAAAGAATGATAAGTTACACACTAATTGATATGTAAATCACTTCTAGTAGATATATGACCAGGTAAAATGATATCTAAGTTATGAACTTATTAATCTAGTTTATTGAAACCGTTAAACTAATCATAAATTATATCAAACTATCAGGGTTATAATTTTTTGATAGACATATAGTATAGCTCTATTGTTTAACCACCAATAAATTAAAAGAGTTAAACCAACAACAAAATAGAAGTGGCAGATGCAATTGCAAGCTTCAACAGCAATACAACTACTCATTCTTAGCAATGGCAGCTACGACACATCTTTCTGGAGTGCATTCATTGCACATGGAACTATTGAAGGGCAAGTTGAGCTATTGGAGTGGAGAATCTTGAGTATTACGGAGTCCTGCAAGAAATTATAGAAGTTCAATATATTGGAGCGAATCGTGTGACATTGTTTAAATGTGATTGGTGGGATGTTCACAGTCACGGAAGAGGAATAGTTACTGACATCTATGGGTTCACTAGTATTAACACCACAAAAGTGTTAGCTAATGATCCTTATGTTTTTGCTTCTCAAGTAGAACAAGTTTTCTATGTTGATGATGTTGTGAAACCGAATTGGAAGGTTGTAGTTAAGACCAAGCCAAGATACTTCTACGATGTTGCTGAGCAGTCAAATGGAACTGATGATATGGATGTTACATATCCATAAGCTTACCTTTCTATAGAAAATATTTAGATTTTGAGTTGACTTTTTACTAGACCCTTGCTTTTGATTTTTCATATATAAACATATAATACTAATGATTCAAGTTTTAATTTCTGAATAAGAAATACAGGAATTATAGAGCAAGACTGAAAAGTACTTTTTATGATACTGAAGAAACAGATGCTGAACGTTTAAAAGAAGAGAATAGGCCACCATTAGTTGAGGAAAAGGATTGGAAGTGGCTTGTCGAGTACTTTGGTTCTCCTGACTTTCAGGTATTTAAACTGTCTTTTTTTAAACTCTATGTTGTTTTTTTAAGTATAGTTTGATAACTGCATTTTTTAACACGTAGAATTGTATTTATGATAGTGCTCAGTTAGAGCTAGACAATTGCATTATTATTGAACTGAGGTTGCATTTAATTTTGACAATTATTGTTGTTGTTTTCAATGTTTCAATAATACGGTGACAATTAGTTTTCTGCATCTTTGGAGTAAAAACCTCTTAGCACCTATATTCAGTTGTTCATTTAGTTTCATAATAAAACATTGTTTTGTTCTCCATAGTTTGAGTTACAGAATAAAACCTTGTTTTGCGTATGAGACTGCTTTAGCTTGTTAGGGTTGAAGTTTATTTTATAAAAATAACTGCAGACTGCTTTATCTTGTTATGCCATTTAATTATTTGTCAGAAATTCATTTTACTGATAACAATATAATTTTATTATAATAGAAAATGAGTAAACGAAACCGTGGCAACCGCTCATGCTTAGATGCTGGACACACTGCTGGTTCGAAGAGTTTTGCTCAAGTTATAGAAGACATGGTAACATTAATTTCTACATTGTTATTTATTTCTATTCTTCTTCTTCTTCTTCTTCTTCTTCTTCTTCTTCTTCTTCTTCTTCTTCTACTTCAGTTTTAACAATATTTCTGTCATATCAGTTCGAAAATGACCATATAATGCCCGGCATGTTGCAAGTGTACAAGAAGACTCATACCCGGCGTGATGAAACTCCTGTGACTAATGTTGCCAAGGAAACTATGGTAAATGACTATCCTTCAATCACAATGACTAAATATTAATCTATGAGTTTTAAATTGGCAGTGTGCTTTAACTTTTGTTAGGTCCTCTTTAATGTGTGCCATAAAAGTCAAATTTCATTAATATGGTTGTAGGATCATACAATCTGATTTTATAACCAGATTGAAGATACTAGATAATATGTATGTTTACCTCTTTATCTTGTCCTTGTTATTAGGTAATTGTTTACCAAATCAAATATGCTAGTTGCAGTTGCTGTTGCATATATTGTTTTTCACTAGATGCATACATTATATTTTTTATGCAGTAAAAGTAAAAAGTTGTTGCATAGCTGTGACAAATATGACTAAAACATACTTGCAAAGTGTTTTAGCAGATTGAATTGGATATACTAGCTCTAATTGCAGACCTTGTCTTTTTTGTGGTACACTTGCTGCATGGTTGCATAGATAACATCTTTTGTTTGCAGTCAGAGATAGAAAAGCTTGTTGAGCAACGTGAGCTAGGAGAAATCAGTATTACAGATGAAGAGATTTTTGAATCAGTTAAACCTAAAGGTAAATGTGGCCGTGATCGTGGCAAGGGGGTGAGTCCGTCCATTACATCATTGTATGGACCATTTAGTGAAGGAGAGAAATTGCGTAAAGAGGCTGAAGAGGCCAAGAAAGAAGCTTATGAGGCTAAGAAAGAAGCAAGTGAAGCTAATGAGAAAAATAAAACACTCACTAAGGAGTTAAACAGTTTCAAAAACGAGGTCAGAGTTATGAAGGGTGTTATGCAGAAATTCTTTAACCTTATGGGAGGTGATTTTTCTAAGCTGATTGCGAATGAGGTATTGCATCCGTTTTTATTTCATTATTTTTTGTTACTTTTTTAAGTTGTTAAAAATATTTATTTATAATTTAATTGCTATATGGCAGGTTCATAAGGAGAATAATCAAGAGAAAAGTGATGATGGTGATGACAATGATGACCATGATGATGATGGAGAAGAAGAAGAAGAATGATCTTTCTGCACTATGTGTTGTCCTTCAAGTTTTAGATCTATACATCTTCATGTTTTTGGACAAAATCTTTTATTAGTTTTAGACTTTAGTTAGTTTCGTTTTACACGTATTCATGGTAGATTAGATTGAACCATTTTTTTTGTAGCTACAAGTTACAACATTCAGTTATTAAATGAATATTATATTGTTAGCTTTTATTTACGTGAGGTATTTATGTTCAACATTAATGTATTTTTAATATTTTAAAAAGTATATGCAATTGGTCATATATTGATAAAAAATAATATAATTGTTGTTAAATGTATATGGTTTGGTTCAACATATAAAGCCGCATCTAATCTTTTTTAGGAGCAGCGTATAATAGTGCCCCTAATAACATTTTGAGTCACTAATAATAGTTGCCCTTAATAATATTTTGAGGCAACATAACACGAATGCCTCTAATGACATTTTGAGGCAAAGGGTTGGGATTGCCTCTAAATGTATCCTTTTAGAGGCATACCATTGTTTGCCTCTAAAGACTAGTTTTCGAGGCAACCATCATTTTGCGACGGACTATTTGAAGGCAACCACCAAGTTGCCTCAAAAGAGCATTAGAGGCAATTTTCCTATTTTTAGAGGCAATTTTGTCATGCCTCTACAAGTCAATTTTATTGTAGTGTGGTAGTTTTGTAATTATGATGAAGTTCGCGGTTTCTCGTAAATGAGCATTGATGTAATCTTGATGAACATGGAGTCTGTTCTTCTGAGTATTAGGAGCCTAACAATGAGCACCAGTGCTCTCTGCTTCATATCTTCTAATTCGGTTTCTTTTTATTATTTTTTCGTTTATAAAAAAAACTTAAATTATGTTTATAATTAATTTCAATATGTGAATCTAATGTAGTATTATATGTTTGATATGTCATTTTAAAATGAGCATAGAGCCTGTTCTTTTGAGTATTAGGAGTCTAACGATGAGCATTAGTGATATCTGCTTCATTCCTCATATATCACATTTTGTTTATTATTTTTTCGTTTATTAAAGTCTTAAATTATGTCTACAATCAATTTCATTTAATTTCAATATGTGAATCAAATGGATTATGATATGTTTAACATGTGCAACCTTTTAAAATGAGCATAAAAAATACCAAATGAGTATGCATTACTTAAAAAATGAGTATCAAAATATTAAAAACTCATTTGTGTGTGCTCATTCATTTTGGGCGATGTAATCATTTGAGTTTAACATAAAACTCATTTTGTAATATGCATGAAAATAACATTTTAAAATGAGTATTGCACTTATATCAAATGAGTATACATTAATTACGAAATGAGCATTCAAAAAACTCATTTGAAATGTGTACTATACTCATAATTTCATTTGTTATGCTCATATCATAAGTGACGAACTCCCTTCTGAAACTTGGGTAAGAAAAAGAGAAAAAGGAAGAGTCCAAAGCAAGAAAGAGGGAGAGGAAGCAACTAGGGTTGTGCTGCGCTCGTGCTAGAGGGTTGTGCTGGAGGAAGGTGGCGGCGAGTGAAGGACGAGTAACGATCTGCGAGTTGCGATGGAAGTCCTGCGAACTGGGATGAAAGCCTGCGAATTGTGATGGAAGCCTGCGATTTGGGTTGGAAGCCCTGCGAACTGCGATGGAAGCCTGCGATTTACGAAATAAAAGGCCGGCTGTACGGTACGCACGGTATAGCCGGCTGTACCATGTAATTTACGGACTAGTATGAACCTCACCAGGAGGTAATTCAAGGATAAGAATGTCTCCATCAGTTTGTTCCTCAATTCTGACGGATATGTCATAGTAATGATCCACGTAAGCTAGTGTGGCAGCTGGATCTACATCGCCCACAACCTTAAATACTTGTTCTATTGCTGGCGCCGTAGGGTATATGTTCGTGCCTTCAAGAAGGGGTTTGAATTCAAATATATGTAAAACTTTTTCATTTTCAAATCTCACGTACATCCTTTTAACGTCACACTTGGTTGAAATCATGAATTGCTTATAAAATCGGTACAACTTCTTGCCTTCACCCAGTTTATGCCCGCCGATAATAATAAACTTTTCTTCTCCTTCTTGAGAACCGCCCTGGGTTGAAATGCCTATGCTTACATGGTCCCTTATGAAACCTGTGAATTGAAAATTTTTCTGTAAGGCAATTAATTTGTGTATGGTTCCTATATACTATCGTATACATACATACATATACATATATATATATATATATATATATATATATTGACTCTTTCCCTATATAACATGCTTATAAAAGTTTTTTTTTAATTAAAATGACTTTTTCTTCTTTTCCCGCCTAGGCCTAGGGGCAGACTCGAGCCGGTCCGGTCCTCGAGAAAAGTGTAGGAACCCGAGACCGGTCCGGTTGCCCCCCCCAATGTAAAAATATTACTACCTCCGTCCCATAATGTAAGATGCACATGGGTTTGGTGCGGGTTTTAAGAAAATAAAGGATAAACTAGTTTTTTACACTTCTGATAACATCGAGAAAGTATGAAAGGGTAAGATGGATCCACAAAAAGTAAAGATCAGTGAAATGATAGATAAAGGATATAGTGGGAAAATAAAAAGTTAGTGGAGTTCAATTTAGGGAAGTGAACATATTTTTTAACAACTCAAAAAGGAAAGCGTGTCTTACAAAGTGGGACGAAGTATTTTTGTTTAATAAACAAATGGTCCGGATTTACAAACCGAATGACGTAATAATAAACAGCAAATTTCAAACTATTATAAATGGTAAAACATTAAACTAGTACACATACTACAATGGTAGGCATATAACCTTATTCAAAATGAAAATGGCGCATAACATTTGAATGATTAACACACGAACACAACTAATTTTCATTTAAGGCGTGGTTAAGTGCTGTAAAGAGTCGGTTCTGTGTTTTTCAAAGCAGAGGGGCGAATGTTTCATGGGCTTCTTTATTATGTATAAACTATAAAGTCATAGTAAAGAAAAAACTTTTAAGGAGACTATTGTTAGTTGTATATTTAAATCAAAAGAGCAACAAAATTATACAACAAAAATAAAAAAGAACTGGAAATTCTATTGTAGAACATTGTGAAGAGAATTCTCATTATATGGAGTAGCACACACACCTTCATAATAAGTAGAGTTTTAGAGCAAGTAAAAATAAATATAAATTTGCATAAGAGCAATATTTTAACAATTCAATAAAAATGCACACGGTTGCACACATAAGAAAACAAATAAATCATACATAATGACACAACAAATCTTAGTTTGTAAGAAAAACGAATACCTAGAGGCTACTTAATTTCTATTTAAAATTCACTTTTTATAGAGGTAATATATGGTCATGGACCATTATTGGCGGATAGTCTATATAGTTGGGATTATACAAAAATAATCAATAGTTGGGATTATTTTCAGCGGACCAGCAATAGTTGGGATTATTGTTTTCAATTTTTCCTAAAAAATAAAGGTAATGGGTGTACAGAAATGTGAACCTTTATACCTTTATTCTTCTTTTTACTATTCTTTAGTGATCGTGATAATGTTCTAATTAATTACATTGTAGTGACTGTGATGATATACTTGTAGTAGTTTAAGTCACATTTTGTCAATTACTTTTAGTGTTTATTTTGGGTCTACTTTTAAAGTCTTTATAGTTTTACACTTTTATACGGAGTACTATTTATAATTGCTATGAGTCTATGACAATAAGAGTAATTATGTAATAATTGGCTAGGTACTCCAAGAATATTCTGATCTAGTATTTATTCCTAGGCTAATATAATAAGTACATTGATTGATTTATTGGACAAATCTGAGTAAACTAATGTTTACTCCAAGAAATATTCTCAACCGTATCATTTATTCCTAATTAGTACATAGATTGATCTGACAAAACTAAGTAGTGATTGAATTAAATAATACTCCCTATGTCCCATTTAAAGGTTCTCGTACACTATTCTCCGGTCAACGTGCATTGTTCTTAATCTTTTACTTATTATATCTGAAGTTTATGAAATTTAAATTATTTTTTGCAGGTTTTGTAGCGGGTTTAATGTAGTTTCTGAATATGTAAATTTTATTTACTAAAAATAATTCTATTAATGACAGGGATCAGTTAACTTTATGGTCAGTCAAACATTGTAAATCGTGTGGGAACCTTAAAGTGGGACGGAGGGAGTAGTTTTAAATAGTGTAACATTATTTGTTACATATATTTACGTAGCCTTAGCTTGTAGCCTTAGTCATATCTCTACGTACATATCTTCATTTAATAGTAAACTGCTTTTACATTAATTAAGAGAATCGTTCATAATCTTGCTTACAATGCATAATGGAATAAAAACATGACTATAACTATGGCCTGGGTTGAAAACGCTTGCCCTTGCGAGCGCATGAGTAGAGCAATTATCAGATATTCTATGTGCGCAGAAATGCTCAGGTCCCTCCGGAGGGACGGGAGCAGCCGTCCGAACTTCACTGTTTGGGGCGGTTCCCGGTAGAATTTTTCGATGAAATTTTTTGAGCATGTTCCTCATCAAGTCTAGTTTGTCCATACCAAATTTCAGCTCAAAATTCGACAGGGAAGGCAGTCAAATAAATTCTTGAAGCTTACTGCACATTCTGCGCATATATAAAGTGCAGTAAGTTTCAAGGATTTATTTGGCTGCCTTCCCGGTCGAATTTTGATCTGAAATTTGGTATGGACAAACTAGACTTGATGAGGAACATGCTCAAAAAATTTCATCGAAAAATTCCACCGGGAACCGCCCCAAACAGTAAAGTTCGGACGGCTGCTCCCGTCCCTCCGGCTGGACCTGAGCAGTCCCCTCTATGTGCGTATCTTAATTCTAGTGGCATAGTATTTATCTCATGCATAATTATAGGGAGGTTACAACCATACATACCTATCCTGTATGCTCATGCATGCACGCGTGTATCATCATGTGTATATATTACGAGTCCGCACAATTGTTAATACAATTCAGTTTTAATCT